TTGGGGGTGGTTGTTGGAGGAGGCTGTGGGTCCCTGCAGCTCCAGCAGCAGCTCCCAGGCTGGGCAGTGCAGTAACGTCAATCCCAGGGTGTTCCCGTGTGCCTGGGCTACACATTCTCCACTTTGTCCAACAGCAAAGGGAAATTTTCCAATAGAAATCAGAGTTCGTTGATGGCAAATGGTGGACAAAACTCTCTACCATCCCTTAGCAGCTGCCAGGAGAGGCTCTCCAACAGGGCTTCTGGCTCCCTCCTAGCACAAGGTGGGACTCTGAGGGTGGAAGCAGGATCTGCCTCCCTCCTACCTCCTCTCTAGCAGGGCTGCTTTGCCTAGTACTGACTCAGAAAGACATGGGCCAGGACATGTGGAGACGGTGGCAAAACCTCAAACTTGGAACATGAGAGCTTTCTTACAAGGTCCCAGCTCCAGTCCCTGCTGCAGTACCTGCAGCAAGAGCCTTTCCTTATAGACACGGGGTGTGAGGCACCCCAGGGCAGATGCCACAGCAACTGGGAGATATCACGTCTGACTTCTGATATCAGTGGAGAAAAAATAAATACCTGCACCAAAAGATTTATCTTCTGTCTTGACTTCTTTTATCTGCATTATGTCTATAAGAAAACATCATTATATACTGGGCAACTTCACTGTAGTACCAGATAAATCCTACACTTTTTCATACATCTAATTCATTCATATCTTACCTGCTGTTCCTTGGAGCATCAGGGGGAGAGTACAGGCTGGTGTTGCTGGTACTTCAAAAAGCCCTGCCCAATAGTTCCCTTTCCTCTTTACTCCCCCCACTGCCAGAGAACAGGAGGCATCACTTTCTTCTTTTGATACCTCTGTAAAGGCCTCCAGCCCTGGGTCTCATGTCATCATGCCTTGCAGAAAGGGCCATTCAGAGCTGTCATTTGCTGGACACCTCTTGGGACACATGCACATGCACACACTGCATCCCTGCTCATTAGAAACCAGCACCAACTGCTGCTGTACTGCAAACCAGAGCTTTTTCTGCTTCTCTTCAAGAAGCTCCCCAGTGAAACCCAAGATCAACCGTCTGGGCAGGTGGGCCCTCTGCTTCTGCTAAGCATGCAGAAGTCATCTTCCACCTTTTGTGTGTTTGTTATCTTGCCACTGTGACTTGTCATCTCAATGGCATGCAGGAGAAAAGGCCAAGAGGCCAGGATCCGCTACCAAAACCCCCAACAGGTAACCTCTTGGAGCTGGGGGAACCAAACTGCACTTACAAACACCTTCAGAGGCAGTTCCAAGTCAGGCATGCATTACAGTTACCTTCTGCCTGGCAAGGACTGCCCTTCTCCTATTGCATGAAGGGCATCAAATGCATTGGATACACAAGCAGTGGCTACATCCATATAATGTTTCCTCACCTTGGATAGCTTTAGGAGGAGAAGCAGGTTTGTTGGATCATCTGGTTTACAGACCTTGATGTGTATCCTGGTGCTACTCTGACTTTATCTGAATAATCACTAGAGAGACAGTGTTATGCTG